CCGAACTTCCCGAACTCAAACCTTGTGGGCGGGAAGTTTGGACTGGCACCCAGGCTAGTAGCATCGTGCCTATAGGTCGGAAATTCATAACAATCATTGTCTCTCTTTTATCTCCTCTTTCTTACATCTTTTCTCATTTTTTCTTGTTTTTCCTTTCCTGTTCTACTTAAATTGCAGCGTCCATATAATCTGAAATACACCCTGCATGAATTAGAATAAAGCTATTCATACGCATAAATCAAGCGGAACACTATGGCGATCGCCGTACTGCTCCTCTTGTGAAAGTAAAATCTGTTGGGCTCCTTTTGGGATCAAGACAACTCTTCTTATTGCCACATTACCAGACAGGACACTGTAGAAAAAAAGAAAAGGAAATTAATAAAAATCAAGGGTTAACTTTAAATTCCCCGACTCTACTTTGACAGGAAACCAAACAGTCACTTGAGTCCTACTTTTTTTCAAGACAAGAGAACAGCTACTTATAGCTACTGTTACCCTTTACTGTCTGTAGTGAAATAAAACAAGGTCATTTCAGAGGAGATGCCTCGGCAAATAGCTAACCTGCATTAGTAGAACATAGAATCATTTTCATCTCCCGCTGCATGCTGGGAAATAAATCTTGTGTTAATTACCTCATGTGACCTGATTCCCTCCGTGTGAAAGTTAAGCGAGTGACAGACGGATACACAGACAGTGATCCATCAGACGGGGCTCAGCCCTGGAGATGTGTGCGTTGTGTAGCCTACTGTATACGGTTGTGTTTGTAGCAGTGACAGCGCTGTCAGTTAATCTTTCCGCATTGACAGATTACGCTCATGTCAAGCAGCCAAGCCAGAACGCACGAAACGATCCCTTCCTCGTTCATGGCTGTAACCGGCGCAGACGTACACCTCACCTGTCAGTCATTTTGTCTGGAATTCCCTCTGCTTCCTCGTCCTTTTTAGCTTCTTCCCTCTTCTCATTCTACCTTCCTCTCCCCATCCCTCTCCTCTGTCTTTCATCATTCTGTTATTTTTCTTTCCTTTTAAAGAAACTGTCTGCTGCCCTGAAACTGGGTCTTTTTCCCTCCCCTGGGTCTCTCTGTCTTTTCCTTTTTTTTCCTCCCTCTCTCTTCTCCCTCCCACGCACATCTTGCTGATGGATTAAATGTTGAACGCGAGGTCTTGTAAAGGGAAAAGAGGGAGTCTCCGTTAATCGTGCTGATCCCTAATTAGTCGGCCTGTCTCTTCTCTCAGCAGTGGGTGTGATAAAACAGGAGGCCCCTTCCCAGGTCAGCGGGCCGCAGCCTTGTGTTGTCACATACTCCTGCACCTTATTCTGCTCTATGGAGAGTTCGCCTCAGTGCCAGTTTATGGATTCCTCAGCGGAGGCTGGTGACTGAACAGGGTGAACGTGTGACTGTGCAGTAGAAGGAGTTTTTTTGCTAAAAATACCTGCTTATGTAAGGAAAGTTTCATCACCTTCTCTACTCCCAGTAGCAGTGGCGGCTGGTGGAGTTTTCTCCAGGGGGGGGGGCTATAAATTTAAAATAGACGTATACCAAAAACCAATCAAACATGTACTAAGTTATCACACCAGTATATTTATATGAATGGCAGCAGCAAAAAGCATAAAAACACTTTATAAAAACAAAATATAATTTCATGTACAGGTTTACATTTTGTACATAAATCTTGCCCTTCTGAGGCTTTGAGAAGATAACTGTGTTTTGCATGGTCCAATATGATGTCACAAACCTAAGAAAAATAAAGTACCAGTTTGATAATGGAGAAGTCATTAGTCAGCTTTATATTTTTTTAATATAAACTATTTACTTTCTGAGAATGTGTTTACATGTTAATATATGAACACTTATATTAACGTGCTTCGAGATAGAAAAGGTTGTATTTGCTGTTTCTAAGTTTGTTACGCCTGGGGTTTTAGATTTTGTTCTGATGTTTATATACTCAACCATTAGCTTCGGTCATGAGTTAAATCTGGTGCAGTATTATCTAGGGGTGTGGGGAAAAATCATTTTGCCGACAAATTGTGATTTTTGGCTGCCCAATATAATAACGATCTTTCTTGTATCGATTAATTTACCCAAAACAATGAGGAAAATGGGCTACCTCTGCACCGCCACTCTGGCGCCATATCTGTTGTTGAGGCAGTCACAGTAGAAGACGTTGACTCAAACCCAAAACAACATGGATACCAAAAAAAGTAAATGATCAATATCTTCTGATGAACATATACAACAATTGCTTTTTCATCCATAAATTGAATTTGGACAGCCGGGGAAAATATCGCAATATTGCAATATTGTGACCCAAGTTACACCCATGCCAATACTCACCCCTAGTGTTATGGTCAGAAGCTGAATAATTTGGTAACCTTAGCTTTAAATGACTGTGAAAACTAGCTCACAGACCCTGATTTGGTGTTTCACAATCCCCCGGAGGGAACCCGTCCCCCACTTTGGGAACCGTTGCATTACAAGATCAGACATGGTTTTGGTTCTTTGATGTAGGATTTAATCTAGAGGGGTGAATATGGCTTCAAATTTACAAGGAACTCAGTGACTCCTCAATCTGCTGGTCTAAAATGGAATGATAAAGTGTTAGCAGTGGTTTTCAGGGGAGCTAAACCTGGAAGTTACAGGTTTAGCTCACCTTCATTTTCCTGCCGCTTCGGCGAAATCGCTCCATGCTCGCTAAAACTTTCAGAAGAAGGCATTTTCAGACATTTTTCTTCATGTAATGATGCCAGTGCCCTGAGACACACTGCGTTTGATTTTGTGACCGATACATGTATATTGTCTTATTTAAATGGCTGTTAAATTATCGCACTGTTTCCCCGATGTGAACGTAACACCTCGCTCCATTCATGTTGCCTCGCGTTTCCTATTTAACTACAGTATTAATTTATTTTACTAGACTACATTAAAACAAGGTCACTTTGCATCCCATTACAAATGAGATAATAGCGTATAATGCATGTATGCAATCTATTTTTTTTTTAAATTGACCACAACGATCACTTTATGTAAACCCAATCTACTGTTAAGTATAGTTAGTGTATGTTTTTATGGAGCGAAATCCTCGCTCCGGCTTTTAAGTTGAAAACTGCTCTGCGCTCCACCATATTTCTTCTGCTCCACTGCTTCCTCCATGCTCCACTCGGCTTACGTGCTGTGGCTGATTGTTATAAATTATACTTTTAACAACAAAACCACTCTGTAAAGCCTCGACCTCAACACTATTTCTGACATTTTGAATTGAAAAAGCTTCCTGGATGGAAAGCGAAACGCCATAAAACTTGGAAACAAAGTCCAGTGGAATGTTTTTTAACTTATTTGGAATGAATATACTTAAAACAGCAGTTAAATTTCTTTTTCATAGCCTTTTTAGAACAAGGACCAGAGATCAGGTCGGCATGCGAGGCCCTGCTTAGCCTTGAGGGCTGACCTATAGCGGTGCAACACTCTGCTGATGGCATATGAGCCTGAACAAAGGCTGTGAGTGTTTATAACGACGCCTGTGTTGGTGCACACATCAAAAATGGTTGTGTTCCCTATCCAAGACATCACCTATCAACCTGATTCTGATGTTTACAAAGTTTTAGACCTATGAGTGAAACAATGAAGAGAAAACAGCTTTTGAACCATTTTGTAGAGAATATAAAACTCTACCTAGATCAAATTACGGGCTCAGATGTGTAGAGTCCTACTCATAACTCACTTTCATTTTTCCCTTAGCATCTACCCTTTGTTTTTATTTTGTTAATCTTTTCCCTCTGTTCTTGAATAAGGGAATAAATAGTTTTAAATGCTTGAATTATGTTGTTTCCCGATAGAGCAGTGCGTTCGCCATCAGGTGCATGACCCTGTGATAAAGGGATGGAGCGATTATACCAAGCTTAGCCACCACTGCTTATTGTACTTTCAAACGAGTATAAATAAAGGAGGCCATATTTAGATATTTGCATGCAGATATAGACAATGACTGTGGATGATGCAGCACAATTAGGGACATGTAAACTTAATAGTTATATATTTTTTAAAAAGGGAAAAATTCTTTGTATGACTGCAAGTGTCATCAGCACACCTAGAAGATCTCAGTTTTTAATCAGTTCTTCAATTGTTTGACAGATGAAAAAATATGTCAAGACTCCTTTGAAGCTGTATCGTCTGCCTGGCTGTGTGTTTCCTAGACGGAGCTGCCCTTTTACAGCTGCTTTTTGTATCTCTGCTTCTGTCTCCTTGAACCCCAGTCGGCCTCAGCAGATGGCCGCTCACACTGATTCTGCTGGAGGTTTCTTCCTGTTAAAATGGAGTTTTTCCTCTCCACTGTCGCTACAAGCATGCTTAGTGTGAGGGATTGCCAATGAGTCGATGCAATCAACTGGTTTTCCTTAGAACACTTTAAATCAATCTGACTGTATGATCTGGTTGAACTGTAAAGTGCCTTGAGATGACATGTGCTGTGAATTGGAGCCATATAAATAAAATTAATTTAATAGAAATTTGTTGAAAACTCTAGAAAGAAAATGCTAAGCTTCTTTTACATTCACTAAAAAAAATCCCCCGGACATTTTCTGACAATCTTCCTGACATCCAAATTCTTCCATCTGATTAAAGCCCAGCTGGCGCTTTGTTGGCGGGTCAAATGACTCTGCAGGAGTTATGACTGGAGCTTTGACCGACAGCGATGGAGGCGCTGCTGCCAGGTGGACGGCCTTAATTTCCCTCCTTTTAGAGCACAATGAGCGATTATTAAAGATTGTCACCTTTTCCGCTTTGAGAAAGTGTTGGGCCTCCTGCCAGGCCTGACCTTTTGTCTCTCCTTTTTTTTTTTTGTTCTGCTGTTTCCAGGTTTGAATGAGATTCAGAGAAATGTCTGCCAGCGCATCAACACCAGTGACCCTGTTTTTTTTTATTTACCCCCTTTTTTCCCCTTAGATTTTTGTCTGCTGTTTTAGAAACAACACTTTAACAAGCTTCTGTTCTTATGTCTCTGCAGCCATCTTGAGTCAGAGCGCAGTGCCCTGAAGAGGAGGGAGTGGGAGAGGAGGAACCAGGAGGTCCAGCAAGAAGAAGACTTGTTCTCAACTGGATTTAACCTCTTTGGAGAACCTTATAAAGTAAGTGCAAAGAAAACAACAAAAGTAGTTAATATTTGAAAATGTGTGTCTAATAAGAGAAAAAGCTATATACTTTACAGGAACAAATAAATGTTCCTGCTGGGATGGTAGCACCCCCCTCCCCCCTCTATTTTTTGTATTCTTAACACCTTAATGAAACTTTAAAGCATACACAGTCCTGTTAAAGCTGAAGTCTGTAAGTTTTTAAAAATCACTTTTTTGTCATATTGGCTAAAA